TAGCCGCCAAGATGACTGGAATGTCTTACTACCTTCACTGCTGATGGCTTATAGGACAGCAGAGCATGAAGCCACTGGATACACTCCAGCAAAGTTGATGTTTGGTCGGTAACTTAGGTTGCCAGTGGATCTGTTAACAGGACGCCCACCTTATGAAGAGTTGCCTGAGAATGTGTCAGAGTTTGTGAAAGTGTTATCGGAAAGAATGGATGATATTCACCATCAAGTGCGTTCAAACTTGAAAACGTCTGCTGATTCGATGAAGTTAACTTATGATAAGAGATCTACTGAAGTCAGCTTTGTACCAGGAGATAAGGTGTGGTTGTATAATTTCACGAAAACCAAAGGGAAGTCTTCTGAGTTGTCTTCTCCATGGGAAGGCCCATATGACATAGTGGATCGTCTGTCAGACGTGACTTTCCGAATAAAATGTGGTCGGCGAGGTAAGCCAAAAGTGGTGCATGCCAACAGGCTTTGGCGTTATCACGCTCCAGGACATTTCAGTGGGACAAAGTGAACAACAGAACAAAAAATGCCACTGAAGACGTCTCACCAGGAAAGGCCACTGTCGAAGAAGAAACGCTACTCGATTTTGAGAAGGGAAACAGTGAAGCCTTTCATCAAGTTACTAACACTGATGTGACCATTATCCATGAAAGGACAATTCCTGATGGAGCAGATGAACCTCACGTGAAGCAAAAGCCAATACGGAAGAAGATACGTCCCGTAAAATCATTTGTACAGAGATGATGGCCACATGGTTTGAAAATATTCACCACAAATTATACACTCGTACCCCATGTCTGTATTTATGTTTGTCGATTATTTTTATACACAAATATAATCCATATCAAAGAAACTCTAAAATATGAGGCCAAAGGGTAGGAAAATTGTGACTACAACTTTCACCTTTGTTCATTAGTCACTTGACCACGTTCCTTTCTATAAAATTGACAGACAGTCCAAAAATTCCGTGTCTTTCAAGTTTCTTACAATAAAAGACAAGAAAATACATATCTTTTCTTTCACGATTTTATAAATTTAACATGTTTGCGAATCAAATAAGCTGTTATGGTGTCTTGAAAAATCAGAATAGAAAACCACGATCAATATCATACTGAAACGCCAAAAATTCCCACACCTATTTGTCCAAGCCCTGAATCTTTTAAGTACCTAGCGATGTATCTGCTACAAAACCTTTCCCATTGTCTTGTTCTTTTATGATTAGATTGTCGTTTATCCTGAGATCTTTT